TCACGAATAAATGAAACGACACAAAATATAAAATGCCAGTTTTTTTTTATTATTTAGACAAAATAATACTTCATTATACTTTTCTAAATATTTTAATTAATAATAATTTTTCACTGAATTTTTCTACTCTCTTAATAAAATATTATCGAAATATTAATGAAATTATAATGAAATTTTAATGAAATTGGGTCAAAATTGTGAATGCTTTTCAAACATATTTCAGCAAAAGTTCATTATATTTTCAATGAATTATTTCCATCAGATACAAATATCTCAATTGAGATCTTACATGCGAAATTTTGCGGAAACCTCAACTGAGAATTCAATTGAGAATTTAATTAAGAATTCAATTGGGAATTCAATTGTGATCTCAATAGAAATTTTTCAGTAGGGTAGTTACATTTTATCTCGTATCTGTATCTAAATTTATTATTTTAGATACAGATACGAAATAAAATGCAATTTTGGTGATTTTATATATAATTGTTACTTTTTCACAAGAGACAAAGTTTTTTTCATGGTGTAAAAATATAAGATGATGTATTCCGGTGGATACGCAGTAGCTACCAATCAGAAAGTTGCCACAAATGCGAGAAACCCAACGGCTCTCATCAGACGTAACGTTAACATAATATATTTTGTGGTAACTCTCTGACTAGTTCTATTCCCACCTCCATGATACACAATGAAACACCTTGGTCGCGTTCCATTTCACGCACAATATATGCGCGCATTTATTTTACAGTTCACGTCACGTATACTGTAGGGAATGCGCGCATAATGTGTGAAACGGAACGCAACCCTTATATTCTTACACCATGGTTGCTTTATTGGGTGCGTTCAGCGAACTCAACAGTTGCACAACAGTTGAGTAATTCGTCAATGTAATTGGCCTAGATTTAGGGATCTAACAGTAAGAACCAATAATCGCTGATTGCTCACTGAGCACTTTTTCCACTGAATGCGCCCATTGGGTGCATTCAGTATTACAACCGCTCACTGAGTGCTCAGTGAGCTATTGTATCCCATTGGTATATTCTTTTAGATCTAAAAATATGTACCAATGAAATGCAAGAGCTCACTGAGCACTCCGTAATCGAAATATCTGAAAAGTATCTGGAGAGATTTAGATACATTCTTCGAGTATCTGTATCTACATCTAGTTTTTCATATAAAATTCCTATCTATATCTTCATCTAGCTACACTTTTCTTACTGTATCTGTCTCTATATCTAGCTACTTCAAAACATGTATCTGTTACAACACTGCATGTGTGATTATTCAGAAATCTTTAATATCTCGAGATTTATTGCAAACATTGCAAAACGGTATGGGACTTTTATGTTTACCTCAACTCGTTCTACGTTTCCACGAAAATTGCGCACGACAGTCTGAGATACCCTGCATATATATACATATATACATACACATATGTATCTAATTCACGTTGCAAGGTGCTATTTCCTATAAATACACAATATAATTTTAATTCGACTGAAGTAATTTTCAACCTCATCCGATATTTAATTTTGAATTACTCGCAAACTTGTGAAATGAGAACTTTTTATTCATGTGCTAAAGAAAATTATGTGCTTAAAGAAAGTTACGTGTTTAAAGAAAGTTGGTAGAAATATGAGTTTAAGCATAGTTAAGCCATTTCAATCATCTCTCAACTATTAAGAGACAAAGTTCAATGATCTATAGTACAGGTGGTATAAAAACTTAATACATTTTGAGATATTTACAAAAGGAAACAATCCAGTTAATCTTGAAGTGATCTTGAAAATTTCTAGTTTTGCAATTTTAAAGATCAGCAACTAAGAAAGAGGCAATGTTACTATAGGATACTTTTGACTTCAGAGTACTAGTTTAAAAAAAGTCTTAAATTGTAATATAAAGGGGACTGATCGAAAAATAATTTTTATATTAGAATTTAGCACTTCTCTTGAAAAACTTGATACAATATATCAACGATTTTAATTTTATTTACTTTTTTCATTTTTATTCGCCATTTGACTGAAAAAAAGTTATATTTCTTTATACTCGAAGAACTATACTTTTTGACAAATTAAAATGTAATACTTTTTTTGTAAAGATTCCCTTTACGTGTGCAATAAATTTAAATATTTAAGCGAACATTTGCAATTTTATTTCTGTTCACACAATTCTATAGACTTTAAAAAGTATATTCATTATCTTTTACTGATATTTATTAACATTTTTATAGAATAAATAAGTGAAGTCGAAATAACTGAATGTACCAAATTAAGATAGCCAGAACATGTGTAAGAATTAAATTTTACTTATTCATTAATCAAGTAATCACCATTTCTCATAAAATTTCGTAGAAAATGACAATTACTAGATTAATGAATAATATGTATCTTCATTGAGAATGTGAATTATGTGAGAAGTAAAGTAAAATTCTACGTAAAATTGAAATCAAGATTAAGTGAAAGCCTAAAATATCACACCGGACTTTCTTCGACTGACGACATTACGTAACACACAATTAAATTAAAGTGAATCACACTCACGCATTCATGATGACTTCCAGCTTGTTGTAAAGCTCCCGCCGGTGTCTCCTTTGCAGATAATAATACTCCGACTTGCGATATTTCTTCCTGCCGGGCGCGAAGCGGTACTTGACGTCGTCGTTCCATCCTGAATATTTCACGGCGCCGTTGCTATTAGCGGCCACGGCGGAACCGTGGCGGTCGTGCTTGTTGCCGGTTTGAACTTTATCATTCCTCAGCTCTAGGAAGGGTTCCAGAGCGGGCTTGCTCTCGTTGGGCAGATCGTAGGAGATGCCCCAGTTGAGGCCCTCCGTAAAGATATCGTCGTCCGGCGTGAGGGTGTGCACGGTCATGCAGAGCGCGACCTACGTATCAAATCCCATAATAATAATAAAAGGCAATAATTCCATCGTATACACACTCCCGATCCGGGATTATCCAGCGGCGGGCGCATTCAATCGGTCAGCAATTAATTATCGCGTTAATTATTGCGCAGTAGCGTAACGGAGCGACGTTACGCCCCCCATCCCCTTGTACAATTCAACGTGAAATTACGTCTATTATATTTGCATTTAAATGAATAATTATCACGCGATAAAAGTCCGCCGAGGACGACAGTTAACGCGCGCGTACGCAACGGATTTCGGGATAACGATGTGTCCTTGTCACGATTAGAAGATCACTTCGAGAGAGATTGATCGCGAGAATAGGTCACGTGATACTGTAAGGCTTGGTCTACAATATACGGAGTAAGTTTGCAGTAAAAAATAAGCCGTAAGTTTGGAGTAAAAAGTAAGCCGATTATTCTTATGATAATCGATTATGATTGATCAATTCTTACAACTTACTTTTCAAGCTTACTCTGCATATTGTAGACCAAATCATCCATATTGTTGTCCAAGATGCGCTGTTAGCTTCATCCTCAACCAACGTATTCCACTCGTGCACGATATATATTATTGACTTTTTGCGAAAAGATATTTCAAGAAATTTAAATTACATGAGAATTTTAAGTGCGACATGAACTGTTTATTCAATAATGAATTTTAACAGATCATGCTTTATCGAATGCTCTACAAAATTACACGTAGCCGAATTCTCGTACCGGCTATTTTTGTCTCTGATTTCGAATGCCTTTTCTTACACTTCTATTTCCTCTCTGTCTTTTCCTGCCTTGCCTCTTCACTTATCCTGTTTTTCACTCTGTCCTATTCCAACTCTCTTCTAGTCTCACTCTTTAAGGTAAACTCGGATATAATGGCCATACCGGAAACATGGCCATAGACTGTAATTTCTCTGATAATTACAGAACATTGCGTTTGTGTAATCAATCACAAAGATAATCGATATTTATCATAGTGTATGTGCGTACATTTTCCGAAATAGCAAGATTATGAATATTATATTATATTTTTATTTTCGACTACCTGTAAAATTTCTTATGTATCCACTAAAACTTGCTGTAATGTCGAATAAATTACAGTTAAGCTATCGCAATCAACGTTAGATACATAAAGTAGGTATGTAAATTGTAATATAACATGCATTTTTATTTTCGTTTTTACTATTTGTTTATAAGTATTATTATAACCGTCTTTCACTCATATTATGAGTAAGATGGCCCACTATCATTCTAACATTTATAAAAGTCGTTATATTTCAAAAATTACG